AGATGCCATAAACAGATGAATGGATTAAGGGAATGTGGTATATATACACAATGGGGTTTAACTCAGCTATAAAGAAGAATAAAATTATGGTATTTGTGGGTAAATGGATAGAACTGGAGAACATCATGCTAAAGGAAATAATCCAGACTCGGAGAATCAATGCTTTCTCGCATATGCAGAAGCTAGACCAAAATAAGAGGTGGAAAGGTGCATGGAGGGGATTTCCATGAAATAGAAGAGAGATCAGTAGAGTGGAGGAAGGGATTGAGGGGTGGGAGGAGGGATGGAAAAAAAGAAGAGTGGTGGAATGAAACTTACCAAACCATCCTATGTACATATATGACTATACTACAGTGAAGTCCACCTTTATGTATATCTACAAAACATTACTTAAAAATATAAATAAATAGAAGACCACTAGAGATGGTGGAGAAAAAAGATGGGGGAAAAGAGGAAGGAATGAAATGGGAAAATACTAGGGATTGAGTTAGAGCAAATTACATTTCATGCTTGTATGATTATATCAAAATAAACCTTGATATTATGTGTAACTATAAAGCATTAATAAAAAATAGAGCATGTGTCTATTTCAATTATAACTTTCAAAAAATGATCCAAAAAAGTGCTTCTTCACTTTATAACCAAGTATCCTGGATTAGTTGGAATCTTGATAGCTTCTGCCCATCAGTTTAGGAGCTAAAGGGACACTACTGGTTTAGCAAAGAAGAAAAGGAGAGGCAGTGAACAGCTGGCATGCAGGACTCCCTTCATTAGATGGAGCTAGGTAGTAGGTAAGCTGATTGATCTAGAATCAAGTAAGAGTCAAGGTCACAAAAGTCATTTGCTGCCTATTCTCCAAATCATTAAACTACATGTATTACAGAAGTAGAAGGTCCTTCAGAGACCAAGTTCAGCCTCCTCTCGTGTATATAAAGACTTTCTCAAAGGCAAAACAAGTGTGTTGGCTCTACTGCTACTAGAATCCAGATAAGTGCTCTGATATATTACCACACTACATCTTTTCTACTTCCTACCAGGATCTGGGAGCCAAAATCCAGGATCTCAAATGAAGCTTTGAAAGGAGGTCAGTGGAGAACAGGAAGAGTATGAGGATGATGTGTGAAGGCAATACAGCTCAAACTGTACCGGACCTGACACTGTTCCATGAAGAAATCTCCAGAGTCTCTCCCTCTAGACTCATATCAATAGAGTTGTCATTTAATTATCTAAGTTTCAGTTTTCTCATAAATAAAATGTATCTAAAAATAATTGCACCTAGTTCAGAGTTACCAAGAAGATAATATGAAACAGCGTGTAAAAAAATATTAAATGAACATTGGGTTTTTTCCTACTTATAAGCATCAGATATTTCATCTTACTTTGAATTTTTAAACAATTTAAACACTAATGACCAGAAGGCAGAAAGAATGGAGGAGATGCCATGATTAGAAAGAACAGGCTTATGTACAGAGAACATCTTGTTTTGTGAAATGAATTGTGTAATCACATTCTTTCCACATTGCATCACTTGTTCTTCAGCCAGGATACTAAGATGGCTGGGCCTCTGCTATTATGAAAAGCTCCACTCTAGGACCTACGGAGAATGAGGTCAGGGAGAAAAGAGTTACTGAAGGGAACAATGGAATGATAAATGCTGGAATTATAACCAAAGGACCTATCTGGAAATATCATATAGAAGAAGGTCTATTGGCCTTCTGAGCCTGGTCCTTCTGGCCATTTTCCATGAAAAATTTAAGGTCTTCAGAGAAATGCAGAAGAGAATAGTCAGAAAACTCCTCTGGAAGCCTCAACTGCATTGTGAGTCACTTCTTATCAGTGTGAGTGCAGTCAGATAGGAATGCATGCCCAGTAATTCCTGGATACAAACTCCCAGCTCTGGTTCGGTAGGACTACCTAATGCCTCTAGGAGATTTTCCAATAAAACAACATAATTTTCCAGGCAAGAAACTGAGAAAATTGACCTATTTACTGAAGGAAACTTGAATTACCAGAGCCTATCCTGTTTTGACCTCAAAAAAATAAAAATGACTGCAGTACCAGTTCCAAGGCACCTCTCTTGCTGCTTCTCAGAGCATGAAGAGGATTGGCAACAGATTTCTCATACTGACTCCTAGGCACATATTTCTTGTACCATATAGAGGAGTGGCACTTTCCTGATCACCTTACTTCTAGTTCCCCCTACCTCAGCACCACTATCCTAATCCAAGCCACCCTCATCTCTTCCTCATTCACAATAACCACTGCACAATCCATTCTCCACAGAGCAGCCCAAGTGATTTTTTAGGTAACATCTTTATTGACATATAATTCACATGCCATAAAATTCACACAATTCAGTGTTTAAGTATATTCACAATGTTTGTGCAAACATCACCCCAATCTAATTTTAGAACATTTTCATCATCCCAGAATAAAACCCCATATCCATTAGCAGTCACTTCTAATATCTCCCCTGACTCCTGGCAACCACAAATCCACTTCTGCCTCTGTGTATTTACATGCTCTGGACATTCCATATAAATGCAATCAGACAGTACATTTTTTTCCACTTATAATATTTTTATGATATAACTATGCTATAACACTATCAGTAAACCATTCCTTTTTTATTGCCAAATAGTATTTTATTATATGGCTATACCACATTCTATTTATCCATTCATTGGCTATTGGGCTATTATGAATAACACTGCCAAGAATATTCATAATGTGTTTCATGTGAACATATGTTTTCTATTTTCTTGAGTATATATCTATGAGTGGAACTTCTGGGCCACATAATAAGTATGTGTAACTTCAAAATTGTTTTCAAATGTTGCTGCAGTACTTTATGATTTCACCACAATTTATGAGAGTTCTAATTTTTCTAATCTTCCAAAATATTGTAATTGTTCATCTTTTGATTACAGCAATACATGGGTGTGAAGTGGTTATCTCACTATGATTTTGGTTTACATTTCCTTAATGATTAATGATGCTGAGCAGCTTTTCAAGTGCTATCAGTCATTTGTATATATTACTTAGAGAAATATCCATCTAAATCCTTTGCCTATTTGGTTTATTTATGTTTTCTTACTGCTGAGCCATAAGTGTTCTTTTATATTTTGGATATGAATTCAAGTGATTTTCAAAAAGTACATCAGATCTTGTCACTTGTTACTCCCTTGCTTAGCACCCTCTAATGGTTCTCTAATAAGTATAGAATAAAGTTCAAAATTCTCATTCTGGTTACAAAGCCCTGTATCTTCTGACATCAATTTGCTTCCCCAGCATCAACTTGTACTACCTTCTCACTCAGGCTGTGTATTCTAGTAAGAGCAATCTGCTTTCTGCCCTGGAAACAAAGTGAGCTCATTCACATTTCAGGACAACAGCATTAGCTGTCTCATTTGTATGCTTGGCACTCTTTCCTTGATGGTTCCTTCTTATCATTCAGGTCTTAATTCAAACATTGACTTTTCAGACAAATTTTCCTGAAAAGAAATTCTATCTAGAAGTTACCCTTCCATAAAGAAACTTGGGGATGGTAGATGCATTCATTATTTTGATTGGGGGTAATGATTTCATGGATATATGTTTATTCAAAGTTTTTCATATTAAATATTTTCATATTAAAGTTTTTCACTTTAAATATATGCGATAAATTTTACATCAACTATACTTCAATAAAGCTATTAAACATATAGTTTCCATTATTACTATAGTTTCACTGTCACTAGCTTATCAGACTTTGTTTTCTTAGGAGAAATTATCTCATTTCCCTTTAGAAATTATCTACTGGAAATGACTTTCTTCTTTTTTCATTTTTCTCTTTTGGTGCTGGAGATTAAACCCAGGCCCAAACTTAGGAAAAACATGAGCTCTACTACTAAGCTATATCCTTAGCACTTGAAATGGTCTTATTTCTTGATTTAAACATCTGCTCTCTGTCTTACCCCACTAGAACAAAAGTGTTATGAAGGCAGAATTATTGTTTATCTTTGTCACTAAAGCATCCTCAGCTTGGCTTACAATGATGTGCTCAATAAATATTTGGCTAATTGAATTAAAGAACAGAAGTTTAGAAAAGAGACTGTGAGACAATAGGAAGAGTGAATTTTTCTTTCCTCAGGTTTACCAGTACATTTTAGACTTAAGAGGATGGAAGTATTATTATTTTCCTTATTAAAAGCAGCCATCTCTAAATTTATCCTGGATGATCTCTATCATTATGACCATCATCATCAACAATCATTATCATCATCATCATAAAAAGTATAATTTATGATTCATTTAGTCTGTGGCACTATTATAATATTTCTCACATTATTAGTGGTTAATTTTATAATAGAATAATAATAATATAACATGTAGTAATTGTAACAAATATAGCATAACTATAATAATAGCAGCATTAATACCATAACAATTTATTTTAGCCCCTTCTATTTGCCAGATATAATTTCATTTATTCCTCACAATAACTTTATGAAGTAGRTATTCTTTTAAAGATGTGGAATCAGAAGTTTAGAGAGGTGAATTAACTGCTCAAAGCCACACAGCATGTATGGCGGAGATAGATCCCATTTTGCTGTAACAATTCTGAAATATTTTTACAACACAGTGTTACCCTAGTTCATTATTTGCCTTGAGAATTTTATTTGCCTTGAGAACAATATTTGCCTTGAGAATGTTACTACCTATACTTTGAAAGGGGTTAGAGGTAAAAGTAAGATAAACGAGAAGTTAGTTCCCTGATAATAAATCAGGATACTTACAGGGAGGAATTTGTACTTCATCCCAAATTCCATGTCTGGCTTCATTTGACACTTAATTCTTTACTGTTAATGGCTATTCTCTGAAGGCCTTGGTATGTACCTAAGCTGCTGGTCCTCTTCCTTCCCTGCCTATTAGTGAAGTGTTCTGGTGAGAACAGATTGACTGTGACAGAGATAGGTAATCTCCCTCATCATCTGCATCTTGGTTTCAAGAGCCTTTACCTTTGGTGCCAGGAGGCTGTAGGTTGTCTCCAGTCAAAGAACACCAGCCCACAGGAAAGATGTCCCGGGAGTCGAAGCGGCACCAGTAATCAAAGGCTCCTCGCCACCCATCAAAAGTGACAAGCACCTCTGAGCCCCGAACCTCCCCTATAGTGGCTGGACAAATGAAATGAGGATTCTTCCTGTCTACAGCTTCCAGCTTCATTCCCATTTTGAAGAAGTTGTGGGAAGGTGATGGTGGCTCCTAGATGGAAACAGAAATAATCAGACCTAGACACAAAGAAAAGGACTGGATACATCAATAGACTGTTGTCTCATCTGGATGATTAAAACATGACTGCTATGCAAGATTTACCAAGGAGATTTAGTCTTTATTTTAAATGGATTTCAAAGTACACCAAAATATTACTTTATTAATTCTAATATTTTGACATCCTTGATTCAGTTCTTTTTAAATAAAAGGTCACAGGTAAAGYTGAATCTCCCTTTGTTCCCTTCCTTGACCCATTCCTATTTCACCTACCACAGAGGTTAACAATTACCCATGCCTGTTTTTATACTTTACTATATGTCTACATATCTATCTGCACATTTTAAGCTTTTACACAAATGGTATTGTACTGATCACATCATTCTACAACTTGCCTGTTTGTTCAACATCATTTATGAAGTTTACCCATGTTGAAAAATTTAGCTCCAGTCGTTTTAACTGCTACTAGCATTCTGTAATATGTATGTATCACACTCTATTCATTCTCTTTAAATGGACATTTAAGGTTGTTTCTAATTGCTTACTATTTCAAAAGTGTTTTAATAATATTCTTGCACTGTTCCTTTGTATACATGTGGTAGGGTTTCTTCAGAATGTATAYGTAGGAGTAGAATTGCTGAGATATAGGATAGACATATACATCTTCTGCTTTATTAAATATTGATAAATTGTACTCCAAAGTGTTTGCAACATTGTACACACTCACCAGCAGTGTGTAAAATCTTGGATGCTGATTTGTAATCACATGGATCAAGTTTCAAAAAAATGTGTTGTACACTCTGTTCTTGCCCTATATCTTATTGTTTCATCCTGTACCAACAACATAGTCCTATTAAACGAGCAGCTGGTAGGAAATGTCCCCCCTACTTTGTGATTCTTTAATATTGTCTTGGCTGCTCTTTCTCCTTCACCTTTCAATGAATTTTATCAGCTTGTCATGTCCCACAGAAAACTCCATTAAGATTTTGACTTCAATGAGTTTATATATTAATTTGGGAAGAAATAACCTTTGTTATGTATGATATTGAGTATTCTCATCTATGAACATGACAGTCCTTTCTATTTGTTAAGACTTCTTCAATAAAGACTTTAAATTTCCTCTATAAATATCTTGTGATTTCTTACTAACATCTTTTCTAGGCATATTGTGATTCTATTGTTATCATAAATGGTTTTAAAAAAATTATTCTCAAATCATTTGTTGCTGTTAGGTAGAAATTAACTTGTTTTTAAAAAGCCATCAACTAATTTCATACTGCATGATATATTAATTTTTATCTACATTATTTATCCATTATTGAGAGATGTGCATTCAGACACTCCTTAGTGGTTGTGAATTTTCCAATCTTGTCATGCAATTGTCAAATTTTTATAAATCTTGAGGCTATGTCTTTCAGGACTATAGATGCTTATAAATGCTTTAATATTCTTGACAAAATGTACTTTTTAATGATTAAGTGGTAAGCTTTAAATGCTTTTTAGCATCAGAGTCTCCTTTGATTTCAGTATAGTTTATACCAGCTTTATTTTGATAAAAGTTTACCTAGTATGTTGTTTGTTTTCTTTTTCTATTAACAGTTTTATGTCATTATGTTTAAGCAACATCCATAGTGAATAGCATATAGAATTTAAAAGGGTTAATTTCTATATGCTTAAACTGGTAAGTTTAGCTTCATTTCTTATGATAACTGGGATTTTTGAAATATTTTAATTTTTTGTGGTGGTGGGGGTCTGTTTCCTAGGCACCATGTCTTGAACTCATGGGCTCTAGTGGTCCTCCTGCCTCAGCCACCCAAGTAGCTATCTGGGACTACAGGTGTGTGCTACTATGCCCAGCTGAATTTATTACAGTTATTTTATTGTCTATGTTTCTATTTAACTTGATTTTTCAAGGCACTTTTACTTCTTTTTCATCAACTAAGTTTTCATACCCTTCTTACCCTCCATTGATTTAGAAATTTAAGTCTATTTATAATCTTTTTATGGATCCCTTTAAGATTTTAACTATATAGTTGAATAACAAAGACTAAAACTCATCTTTTATTTATAGTCCCAAACAATAAAAGAACATTAGAATACCCTCCTAAGTTGTATAGTGTAGACAATTTAGTTCTACTTTATTATACTGCCAAGTATTTCCTTTTGTTATTATAATTGCTTTATACCGTAAGTGACAAGCTAACAATATATTTCCTCACCATTATTTCTTCCATCTCATTCTTACTTTATGGTTAAATTACCTTCTTCCTGAAATAAAATCTTAAGTTGTTCATTCAGGTGTTACATCAATTTCCTTTGGTTTATTTGATAAATCTGATTTTTACTTTCATTCTACAATGACAGAATTCTAGGTGGATGACTATTTTCTCTCAGTACTTTGAAAATATTATCCCATTTCCTTCTGGCTTATACTGCTGCTGTCAAGAAACATGTCAGCTGATCCCTTTGAAGACATTCTGTTTAATTACTTTCTCAGATCTTCTCTGTCAACTTTTAGTTTCCTAGAGTTATGATATTTTAAGCTATATATGTTTTTATTACATGCTCTGGAAAACTCTCAGTTATTATATTTTTTAATATTATCTGTTTCTATCCTTTCTAATTAATTATCCTGGATTTCATGTTCAGCATCTTTCAGTCCTTCTAATAGTATTCTTGCTTTTTTTGTTTGTGTGATTCAAAAGTTGATTTATTGAATTTCTGTTGTAAATAAAAGAACATTAATATTTTGTTTATATTACTTTCTAGGGTACGTTCATTTAATTGGTGAAAAACACAATTCATTAGTCTTAAATAGGTGATAATTTGCCCGTGGTTAAGAATCCGTGCTTTTTACCTTTCATGTTTCCATTCTTTTTTCTCTGTGTGCTACAAGCTAGGGAAAGTCTTCAATATGTTTTCCAGGTAATTCTTCAGATGTATGTGTTTAAGTTACATATAAACCTATTAATTTTTCTTTAAGTATCATCTTTAGATGTTTCATTTGGTCTTTTTCTTCCAAATCTGTCTTTTAAAAATTGTGTCTTATGCTTTTTCTCACTTTTTTATTCCTTCTTTTAGTTCTTCAATTATTTTCAAATACTTAAGTTATAATCTCTAGGTGACATTTTTATTGGTTGAAAGTCCTTGGGGTTATCTTACTGTTTGTTCTGTTTAATGATTCCCCCTCATGGCAGATTTGTTTTGAAAGCTTTTCAGGGCTAATTTGAGATTAAGTGCTTATCTTCAGTGGTATTTCACTTCTGGGATTTTGGTGACATCAAACCCTCTAGATAGATTTTAGATTTGCTTCTTCTAGGCACTCAGAAATATCCATACAACTGTAGAATTCCTAAACAACATAGGGAGTTTATGTGAACCTGGGACAACAAGGGTAAAAGCTCTGTTAATCAGAGGAGATGACTCCATTCCCATCCCTACACATGGTCCAGAAAATGCAATCATTTTCTCACTTGGGATAAACACTTCAGAGGCATTCTCTGGTTTTTATGTGGCATGCAGGTACATTTCCCTGTCTTGAATGGGCCCTAGGCATATGTATGTATGTGTGTGTGTGTGTGTGTGTRTATATTTTTATGTATAAAAAGACACGATTCTTGAAAAGTAAGACTGGCAAAACCCCTAAGGAAACTATAGGGATAGGGTCAGTATAAACATTTAATACCATAATTTTTCTTCCTTCATTTTTGGCCTACCAAAAGTAAAATTTTTCTTACTTTCTGGTAAGCTCAGCAGAGCATTGAAAAGAATATTTGTTAGGTCTCTCTCCCCATGCCTGACAGCATTTTTAGGTATTTTGTAGTAAAAGTGTTTTCCAGTTTCCTGTACACTGAATTTTGAGAACCAGAAGGCTCTGGGGGTTTAGATTTAACTAGTAATATAGGCTAACCTAATTCAGTTCCCCTTACAATAACTCTCACCCCAATAGAGAATTCACCTAACAGCAGCCTGTCTGCCTCTCCTCTTGAGAAATAAGGAAGAATGAATATAGGTTTTGGATTCCCATTCCACCACTTAGCCATGTGATCTTGAGCAAGTGTTTTATTCAAAAGTATGTTTCCTTAACTATTAAGTGGAACTACTAATTCTTTTTTTTTAATTTTTAATATTTATTTTTTTAGTTATTGGCGGACACAACATCTTTCTTTGTATGTGGTGCTGAGGATCAAACCCGGGCCGCACACATGCCAGGCGAGCGCGCTACCACTTGAGCCACATCCCCAGCCCCCTAATTCTTTTTTCATATGTAAATTTTTTATTTATATACGACAGCAGAATGCATTATAGTTCTTATTACATATATAGAGCACAATTTTTCATATTTCCGGTTGTATACATAGTATATTCACACCAATTCATGTCTTCATACATGTACTTTGGATAGTAATGATCATTAATTACTCCATGTCCCCTCCTTCCCCTCCAACCCCTCTGCTCTATCTAGAGTTCGTCTATTCCTCCCATGCTCCCGCTCCCTATCCCACTATGAATCAACCTCCTGATATCAAAGAAAACATTCAGCATTTGGTTTTTTGGGATTGACTAACTTCACTTAGCATTATCCTCTCTAGCTCCAACCATTTACCTGCAAATGCCATGATTTTATTCTCCTTTATTGCTGAGTAATATCCAATTATGTATATATGCCACATTTTTTTATCCATTCATCTATTGAAGGGCATCTAAGTTGGTTCCATAGTTTAGCTATTGTGAATTGTGCTGCTAAACATTGATATGGGTGTGTCCCTGTAATATGCTGATTTTAAGTCCTTTGGGTATAGACCAAAGAGAGGGAGCCTGGTCAAATGGTGGTTCCATTCCCAATTTTCCAAGAAATCTCCATACTGCTTTCCACATTGGCTGTACCAATTTGCAGTCCCACCAGCAGAGTATGAGTGTACCTTTTTCCCCACATCCTCGCCAACACTTATTGTTGTTTGTATGCATAATAGCTGCCATTCTAACTGGAGTGA